GGCGAGTCCCTGCTGATCCACGGCGGCTTCTGCATGGAGTCCGCCGACATCGCCACCAGGGACAACAGCGGGCAGCTGCTGAAGCCGCGGCCCCGGGCGGGCTCGGCCCTGGCGGCGCGCCGCGCGAGGCCGATCGGGCAGGGCAGGCCGAGGGCGCCCACAGCCCCCCTCATCATCCTCCGCATCCTCCTCCTCCTCCTCCTCCTCCTCCTCCTCCTCCTCCTCCTCCTCCTCCTCCTCCTCTCCTCCTCCGCCTCCTCCTCCTCCTGCTCTTCCTCCTGCTCCTCCTCCTGCTCCTCGGCCTCTTCCTTCTGACTTCGGCAGCTAGGAGGCAGGCCTGCGTTCTGTGCGGCGCGCAGACACTGAGCCTCACGTTCAACGTCCTAGGGCTTTACTCTCGCACTCGGAGCTGCCCCGGAAATCCTTCTGGGAGGCCCGCGGGGGCCCGCCCCCCTGCTCCGTGGAGGCGGTGGCCAAGGCGGTCCTATCTGCAGGCCCAGCAGGCGCGGGCTACGCGGAGGCGGCGTTGTTGGCGCTCCATGTCGAGAGGGATGCGGAACGATTCTCGGCGGCCAGTGGCACTTTCGAACCCGCCCTCCCTCCCCGCTGCCCAGCTGACCCGGGCGGGCGGGTCGAGTCGGGCAGGGTCTTTGCCCCTGCTCTTCCTCCTTCTCCTCCTGCCCCTCATCCTCCTCCTGCTGCTCCTCCTCCTCCTGCGCCTCCTCCTCCTCCTCCTCCTCCTCCTCCTCTTCTCCTCCTCCTCCTCCTCCTGCTCCTCCTCCTTCTCCGCCTCCTCTCCGCCTCCTTCTCCTTTTCGCCCCCGTTTTCATGGAGTGGCTCCCTCTCCTCCTTCCTGTCACAGTCCCGCACCCGCGGCGTGCTTCGTCCAGGCAGTGTCGTCGGGATCGGACGATGTTCGGGCAGGCGCTCACTGCGTGGCTTCCGCACTCTGCGAGGAGTATCTAAGTTGTCTCTCCTGCTTCGCTCTGGCCAGGGCTTGGGGCGGAGAACATCGCTCGACGTGGTGCCCCTGAGTGCACGTGCGGATTTTCTGGGACACTGGCAGACCCGTGTCGTTCGCCTGGGATGGTGTTCCAGCGTCGTCCCAAGATCTCGTACGGGCCCCCAGAAGAGCACTGCCTTTGCCTCCTCCCCTCCTCCCCTCCAGCGTTGGCGGACAGTCTTCCAGAGCCGTCGCAGCAAGGTCGCTTCCGAACCCTCTCCGGATCGTGGCTCCTGGCTAAAGTGGGTTGCGTCCGACGCGTCCGCCACCAGCTCAATGGGAGCACGCTTGTCCAATCCAATCCCCTCCTCCTCCTCCTCCTCCTCTTCCTCCTCCTCCTCCTCCTCCTCCTCCTCTTCCTCCTCCTCCTCCGGCGGGGTACAACTCGAGCCGGCGACCAGCCGCAGAACTGGCGGAGGGTGGCGGGGGGGGGTTGGGCGCCCAGGGCTCCCGGGGGGTCCTCCCTTGGGGGGCGGTGGGGCATTGGGTGGGGCGGGCTCGGGGTGCTCCTCGTTGCCAGGCCCCCCCGGCGCGGGCCTCTGCGGCTCGTCCTACTTGGTGCCCCCCCTCCTGGCATGCGATGCCGCGAGCGCAACCCTCGCATGCGCATGCGCTGCGCCCGCCACGGGCGGCGGCCTCAGCGGCGGCACCCGCCGTCTGTGCCGAGGGCGTGGTGTGGTACGGGTGCCAGGGGGCGAGTCTCCCACGCTGTTTTCGTGGCGCGAAGGCGCCCCTCGCCTGCTCGGAGAGCGCGAGGGGCGCAAGGGAGCGGGGGCCCGTCTGCTGTCGCGAGGGGCCCTTGGCCCCATAGCGCCCTGGGGTGGGGGTCGTGCGGCCCTGGCCTGCACTATTGGTGGGGGCTGCTTGGGCCCGCCAGGGCCCCCCGCGGCGCGGGGTCCTTTCCGATTTTCTTCCAGTGTCTCCGACCTGAGTCGCGGGTGGCAAAGGCCAGCGGTGGTCCTTGCTCTCTGAGGAGTGGTTGTCTTGGCTCGGATTTGTAAGGCGTTGTTGTCCAGTGACGCAACGCCGTCGCGAGTCGCTCGCCAACTTGTGTTCGCGAGAAGATGTCCTCCTCCTCCTTCTCCTCCTCCTCCTCCTGCTCCTCCTTCCTTTCATCCTGTTCCTCCTCTTCCTCCTCCTCTTCCTGCTCCACTTCCTCATCCTTTTCTCCTCTTCCTCCGCCTTTTCCTCCTCCTTCTCATCTGGAAGCGTGAATCTGGGGCGCACAGTAATCCGTGATCGGGGGCCCGCGCGCTCCCACACCCAGGAGCAACCGCACGTTTCAAACGACGGCCGCTCCCGGGTGGGGCGGAGGCGGTTCGCCAACCGGGTCTCAGTCCGATATGCGGGCACGTAGCCGGCGCCGCGCGATCTCAGTATCATTTTTTTCGGCCCCAGCCAGCTCCATTCTGTTTCCTTATGAATAACTTCTCCCTGTCGCACCCCGAGTCCAGTTTTCAGGGCGGTCCGGGCGCTCCGTTCGAGTTCTCTTTACCACTTATGATTCTGAAGCTTAAGCGTTGACAGCCGTTTCACAGATGGAGGGCGGGTCGTTTTCAAAATGTGGCTCTCGTCTTAGCGCCGCGCGCGTTCATTTTGAACATTTGCAGGAGTTTCACGGATTGAGGCCGATTCGTTTTCAAAATGTGACTGTCGCCGTAGCGCCGCGCACATTCGGTTAACAAATTAAAGTTGTTTGACGGATTGACGACGTGTGGTTTTCAAAATTTGGCTCTCGCCTTAACGCCGCGTACATTCGTTTGAACATTTCAAGAGCTTCACATATTGAGGGCGGTTCCTTTTTAACCCGTGGCTCTTGCCCTAGCGCCGCGGTCAAGCAAGGCTCAACACCTCCTCCTCCTCCTCGTCCTCCGTTCCTTTTCTTTAAAACTAACTTCCCCCCGTCGCATCCCGAGGCCAACTTTTCGGGCGGTCCGGGCGTTTCGCCTGAGACTTCCTCACTGTGTATGACCCTGAAGCTTAAACAATGATAACACAACATTTTCACTGGTGGAGGACGGGTGGTTTTTTAAATGTGGCTCTCGCTCCAGCGCCGCGCGCGTTCGCTTTAAACATTTGCAAGGAGTTTACGGATTGAAGGCGGGCCGTTTTCACAATGTGGCAAGAATTTTATGGATTGAGGGCCGGTGGTTTCAATCTGTGGTTCTCGCTTTGGCGCCGCGCACATTCGTTGAAGCATTTGCAAGGGCTTCACGGATTAAGGGGGGGTCGTTTTCAAAATGTGGCCCTTGCTTTAGCGCCGCGCGCATTCGTTTTGAACATTTGTAGGACCTTCACGGATTGAGGGTGGTTCCTTTTCAAAATGTGGTTCTCGCCCTAACGCCGCGCACATTCGTTTTAAAATTCGGAAGAGCTTCACGTATTGATGGCGGTTCCTTTTCAACATGTGGCTCTCGCCTGAGCGCCGCGTACATTCGTCTTCAATTTTTGCAGGAGTTTCAAGGAATATTCAGCGTGCCAGACATGGTGTCTTGGATGGATTCAGCATTCTGAGGGCGCAGCAAATACGTTGATTCGCGGTGTTGACAGTCCAGGAATGGCGTTCTGACACGAATCAGGATCGTCAAGACGCAATAGTCAAGTTGATCCGTGGCGTTAAAGTCCTGAAAGCAATGTTTTGGCATGCTTCAGGATCTTTAAGTGGTTATCTTCCAACGAGACAGTTCCCTGAGTGGACATGAACCGTTGTAGGGCCTTCTGAAAAAAAAGGGAACTTGGAGGGAGAGTTGATTCCAACATCGTTGATGACTCTTGCTTTTGCACTGGTCCTCCTCCTCGTGCTCCTGCTCCTGCTTCTGCTCCTCCTCTTCCTCCTGCTCCTCCTCATCCTGCTCCTCCTCTTCCTCCTGCTCCTCCTCATCCTGCTCCTCCTCCTCCTCCGCCTCCGCCTCCTTCTCCGCCGCCTCCCCCTCCTCCTCCTCCTCCTCCTCCTCCTCCTCCTCCTCCTCCTCCCTCCCACCTCCCCTTTCCTCCCCCCCACCTCCACCTCCTTTTCCTTCTTTTCCTCCTCCTCCTGCTTCTTCGTCTCCTGCTCCTCCTCCTTCTCCTCCTCCTCCTTCTCCACCTCTTCCTCCTCTTCCTCCTTTCCACAAGTTCACAATCTGCTCTCCTCTCTCCCCTGGTGGCGTCGGGGAAATGTCCAGCCCCCCTCTGCGTAATGCTTTTTACACAGGATTCCCTGGAGTTTAGTTTCTCGCTGGGATTGTTTTTTAATGCTGCTCTCGCTGAAGCGCTGACCCCGTTTTCGGGCTACCGCTCGTTCCGAATCGTGCTCCCGCTGCAGCGCTGGCCTCATTCCCGCGCTTCCGCTCTTCCCGAATCGTGCTCCCACTGCAGCGTTGACCTCATTATTTCCAGTGCCATGCCAAGGCATGGTTTCCGGTCCTTCCAAGTAGGCCCCAACATCTAGAAAATGGCTTCCCGAAAGAAGCCATCGGAAATTATTGCACATTGGGTGGGGGGCGCACACCCGTAGGGTGCTGCGCGGGCACAAATCGCAGGTCGGCCGACGGGCCCTGCGGCGCCGCGGCGCGTGCGACGCGCGCCGCATGCAGCCCGACCGCAGCGCGCACCGCCCGCAGTCGCGTCTTTGCGCTTCTGTGTTGTTTCGCGCGGGCCTGCCGCGGTCGCTCGCGCAGGCGCGCCGCGGGGATCGCGCACTGGGCGGATCGCGGCGCGCCTTGGCGATGCTCGCTTCGCAGGTTGTCGATTATATTGTTTTGGGCACCGCGCTCGTGCGGCGCTCGCGCGGCGCGGGCCCGTCGGCCGTTCTGCCGTCGGTCGTCCCTCGTCCGTTCGTCGGTCTGTCGGTCGTCCGTCGTCCGTCTGCCTGGTGGGTTCTCGCCGTCGCCGCCGCGCCCCCCCCCCCCTGGGGTCGCTGCCGCCGCCGCGGTGTCGTCGTCGTCGTGGTCTTCGTCCGTGTTTCGCCCTGGCGGTTGTTGGGCGTGGCATCGCTCGGCCCGTCGGTCGTTGGCCCGTCGGTCGTCCCTCGTCCGTTCGTCGGTCTGTCGGTCGTCCGTCGTCCGTCTGTCTGGTGGGTTCTCGCCGTCGCCGCCGCGC